TTTTTCCTAGTTTTTTTTTTATCAATGGCGTTTAAAATTAAATATCAGAATGTGGGTGGGATGAGAACAAAATTGCAAGAGTTTTATTTATCTACATTAAGTGATCAAGCGGATGTTTTCTGTGTTACTGAGTCTTGGCTCAATAATAATATTTTTGACTCTGAGTTCATTGATACAAATTATTACGAAGTTTTTAGGTTGGATCGAGATCTACTTAGATCAAACAAAAAAGATGGTGGGGGTGTTTTTATTGCAGTCGCGAAAAAGTTCGAATCAGAAGCACATTTTGATTGGAGCTGTGATGGGATTTTTGAGGATCTGTGGGTGGAAATTAAGCTGCAAGCATCTGTGTCTATTCTGCTGTGTTGTGTATATGCTCCTCCTGAATCTAGTGTTGAAAATCTCAATGCGCACCTAAATAAAATTTCTAGTATTGTGCAGATGTGTCCTGCAAAAAAATGTGTTATTTTGGGCGATTACAATGCTTCGAAAGTAAAGTGGATATTCGATAGTGGCGATAGTTGTTACGTACCCTCAGAGATATCTGGATTATATGGTGAGTCACTCATTGATTCTTTCAATTTAATTAATGTTGATCAATTCAATAATGACAATGCAGGATTTTTGGACTTGGTCTTTAGTAATTTTAAAAATGTTAGCGTGACGAGGTCTGTGGACCCTTTTGTAGTGGAAAGAGTTACTCAACATAAATGTATTGATATTTTGATTGATACAAACATACAGGAATCACTTAAAGGAAAGTTTTGAGAAATTGAAATACAGGTATGCAAACTATGGCGTAATAAACGTAGAGCTGTCACGTATTCCGTGGTTGGATCTTTTTAAAGACTTGAAAGTTGAGGACTGTGTACATATTTTCTATGAAAGGGTTTACGGGGTGGTCATGGATAGTGTTCCGAAGAAAAAAGTAAATAATAAATTTCCTACTTGGTACATTCCAAGTACGAGAGCGCTTATTAAAGAAAAATATAAACTAAACCAAAGATGGAAAAAGTACAACAATCCTGTTGATTACGTCATATTCTCTAATTTGAGAAGGAAGGTCAGAGCTGCAATAAGCACAAACTACAAAAACTATGTTAAAAACACTGAGAGTAATCTGAAAGATAATGTGAAATCATTCTGGAACTTTGTAAATAATAAAAAAAATCAAAAAACATACCAAAATCAGTAACGTATCAAAATCGTAGTTTTTATACTAATGCGGATATCTGTGCAGCATTCTCTGATTTTTTTTCGATTGTCTATGAACCTGATACAACTCCTTCGAGAATCCCGTTGTTAGAACCGCCATGTGACACTGTTGTTTTAAATTTTATATCCGAGGACCAAATCAGGATCCAGCTAAGTAAGCTTGATATAAATAAAGGCCCTGGACCTGATAACCTACCCCCGATATTATTCAAATCATGTGCTGAATCTTTAGTGCAGCCACTTTTTATTATTTACAATAAAAGTTTATCTGAAGGGCAGTTTCCAACTATTTGGAAGTGTGCCAAAATAATACCTGTGCACAAGAGTGGCAGCAAGGTTGACGTCAGAAACTACCGACCTATATCTATTCTTTCCGTTCCAGGGAAAATGCTGGAAGCTATAATTACCAATGAGTTATTTTTCAAATTAAAACATGTTCTTGGAGATACACAACATGGTTTTTTTAGGGGTAGGTCGGTTGCTACTAATCTCTCACTATATGTCCAGGATGTTTCTGAGGCGTTAGATAATAGGGTGCAGATAGATGCTGTGTACACCGACTTCTCAAAAGCTTTTGATAAGGTTCACCACCCAACAATGTTGATCAAATTAAAAAATTTCGATGTACACGGTTGTCTTTATAAAATTCTTCAATCCTACATCAGTCCTCGGACTCAGTTTGTAGAATTGAATTCTGCAAAATCCCAAACGACCCGCATTACATCTGGAATTCCTCAAGGGGGACCATTGTTATTTTCACTGTTTATCGCAGATGTCAGTAAATGTTTTCTTTTTGCTAAATCAGCATCATACGCAGATGATCACAAATCATACGCGCCCGTGAAAAGCCTCAACGACTGTCATAAGTTTCAAGAAGATCTTGATCGTTTTTATGAATACTGTGTGAAAAATCGTCTATTTTTAAATATTGATAAATGTTGCTGTCTTAAGTTCAGCAGGCGGATAAATGATATAAACTTTGACTACACATTCAATGGTGTAAAAATAAAAAAAGTAGAGCAGATTAGGGATCTTGAAATAACTATAGATGTAAAATTAAGTTTTGATATCCACATTATAAAAATTTAGGTTTTATATTAAGAGTTAGCTAGGAATTTCAGGATCACAAATCGCTTATTATTCTATACAATTCCTACGTTCGATCTCACCTTGACTATGGCGGTGTGATATGGAGTCCTCAGTATCATAAATATATAGACAGAATCGAGAGAATACAAAAAAAGTTTGTTTTCCATTTAAATTTTAGATTTAACCGTAACTTACTAACTCATTCGTATGAAGCTAGTCTTAATTTCTACCATATACTGAAGTTATCTGTTAGAAGAATTATCTCCAGTGCTATATTTTTGCATAATATTATTAATAGTAGGATTGACTGTCCTTTACTGTTGTTATTATTTTCTGCTTATCGTAGATATAGGTAGGTACCTACTTATAAGTTTTACTTTGTTAATTAAATAATGGTATAATTGTTAGTGTGTATTTGTAAATTGTGAAGTTAGTTCTTCATGTTAGGGCACCTTTGTAATAAATAAATAAATAAATAAATAAACTATGTCCATAAGCTTGGGCTTGGGCTTCTGGACTTAGGATGGGGAATTCAACTTCGGGTTAAATTCAGCAAGGCTGTCTTCGATTGCTCTACACTCGTCGATCATTTTTAGAAAATCACGAAAACTGTATCGAGGCAGCTCTATAAACCATTTCTAACTTGTGCTCGTTCGGCAAAGGAGTACAATTTCAAAAGCAGTGCACAGGTCAGGTTTAGGAAAAGATTTGTTGGTTTATTCTTTGTTGTACTGGTTTGTTAAAGCCAAGAGCATCACGTAATGCATCCGAAACTTCAGCCCATAAGATGTTTGATTTCTTAGTACCTTGATACCAGCTACTAGATGCAGCTGAGCCATCTAGTAGCTTGCGTAAAACTTTCACAGCATTGTCGTCACTAATGTTCAAACAATCCTTGTAGACAGTGATGGCTTCGGCGTCTTCTTCTGACCTGCCAGAAAACCTGTGAGCCGCATTTGGAGAAATTGGTCAGGGTCAGCAATTTTGTCTAGAGTCATTTTGGACGATCGAAGATTATAAGACATAAATAAGAGACGGGCAGTTTAAATGCGTGTGATGTCTCGAATAACACTTTTCGTTTAAGGAACGGGCACGTTGCGTTGAAAACCAGAAAAAATGAGTAAATCTTAACACCAGGCCACTGGAATGTCCGTATTTACCAGAAAAGAAATTTTAACTTTTAGAAATATCTTAAAATGTCCAGAAACTTGTTGCAGGAAACTGTAATGCCGAGTTACGTCATTCGATATCGCTACACTCACATGTTACCAGAAAAGTACAATTTTTAATGATCACAAAAGCACTAACTCCAATCTAAAAGCCAATGAGTTAGTGGACATACTGAAACCCCAGGCTCAAGTTGGGACATTACGTATGTAGCGGGATTTGGTGGAAACCACAACTCGTCGCACTACACTTTCACGTTTAATAAAATTTATGTCAGAAACATAATAAAACGTTTAAGAATTGAATAACAAATAAAAGAAAAGATATAACAAAACTTCTATGATGTATGCAGAACGGAGGTTAACCTATCTGTTGTTAAAAGTCACGTAAAACAAGAATTTCGGTGTGAAAAATACTTTCTTTCGAATCCTTAATGTGCAACAATCAAACATCTAGTATTAGAAAAGTTTTATTTAAAAAAATATCTATATTTCTATATATATTTTAACTTCTGCTGTATGCTATGAAGCATGTATTTAATGATATCTTACTAAAACAGAACTCAGTTTTACAACGTTGGGTCACAATTAGCTACTTTGTGGACAAAAAAAAGTATAACATTTTGACTTTTTTTTATTTATTTTTCTTGTTAGTCCTAAGAGAAAAATGATCTGATCCTGCACTTCACTTGTTGCTATGTGGTAATAAAATTAAAAGGTAATTGCTATATCAACATTACATTTATATGATTAAAGATTGCTCCTGTAAGTCCACAGCAAAGTATAGAATCAGTTATACCAATGTCACCAAGTCTTTATCCATATTGTAACATTAGGATAGTGATAATTGTTTAATATGTTATAAGGTATTTTATGCATTAGTAAATGTTTTCTAAAAGGAACACTACTGGATCGAGAATATAATTCGTTAGAAAGTACAAGTTAGATTTGCTCTCTGCCTTTTGAGCTTTCTACGAGATTTCGATCTCCTTCTTCTGAAGAGGGGAAGAGGAAGCACAGAAAATAGGCGTGAAAATAAAAAAAAAAGATGATAAGAGAGATGGGTCGAGTTATATGATAAATAGAAAAGAAAAACGAAGTAAAACAGCGGCAAAATCTTTAATTGGCCAGTGCACAAAAAACGACAAATTACAATGATGATGATTAAAGCCGCAAATTTATAAAAGATACTTGTAATAAAAGATATTATTTAATTCTAAAAACTCTAAGGTCAAAAAAATAAGCAACTGACCCCAGCTTCGGTATAGGTGTGCTAGAAATAAAAAACCAAACTTACATAAAAATCTTATATATTGACCATATTATATACATTACCTTTAGAATCTAAAATACATAATATTACATGTCAACGGAGAACTGTTTTCTAGTTATAAATACATAGGAATATATATATATATATATATATATATATATATATATATATATATATATATATATATATATATATATATATATATATATATATATATATATATATATATATATATATATATATATATTCATGTGATTGCTTTGTACAAAACATTTCTAAAATACCTAGAAAACTACATTTTTGATTTTTTTGTATAAAACTCTACGTGTATATGTATAATATGTATATAAATGCTTTTTTTTATCGTACCGCTTATAACTTCGTACATTCCTTAAGCAGATGTTCGCAGTTTAGTGCCTATACTTAACAAGTGACTATAGGTATGCAGGAAAGATTGTTCCCTCCACTATACATCTAATACAAATACAGTTCGTTATTAAATAAATGGATTGCACAGCGTCTCCTTACTTATACTAGGCTTACAGTGACAATTTCTTCATGAATTAATTCTTGAAATTGGTTCAAACAAACAAATTTGACAAGTGCAATGAACCACTTTGATATCAAACAGTAGTCAAATAAATTAGCGAACTTTTTACGTCAATCCCACGCATGTAACCATTTTTTTACCATAAACCATAATTACAAAAAACATAATTACATAAAACATAATTACAACTTTTGCTACAAATAGGTAGTAGGAGACTCTGATATTCGAAAGGTGTACCGGGTGTCTCACATTTCCATATAACATATAACGTATACGTCACATATGCTGCTAAAATACTTTTCAGTGTATAGGTCTTAGAACGCGCTAAGTATATTCGCATAATATACAAGAAACGAATATTTTTTATCAGCAATGATAGTACTTCTGAAAAAATCCCTAAAAAGTTTATACATAATCTATTCCACCTATTCATATACTCGGAATATTTTCCAAATATTCTACTAAGAAAATTTCTTTGAGTAGATTTTTAGCACTTAGTTTTTTTATTACATTACAAAAGTCTCATGTGATGTTAAAAATCGTGGGTGGAAAAGCCTCCAAGATGAAATGCATTTGGGAGCGAATAAAATTATATCATGATTCAAATTCCATAAATTTTCAAAACACGGCTATTAGCTACTACTAAACAAGACGCTCAAAACAACTTCAAGCTGAATAAAAAAATATATATGATTAACAATCAATTGGATAAATAATTCTAGTAAATAACCATAGTATATAACCGATCTGCTTTATCTATATTCAAAGGGCATAGCAACTAACCAATAGGTTATAATTTGTCGATGGTTGTAACTTCAATTTTGTATAAGACGTGTGTACGTTCGCGGTCCGGCTTTGAAAGACATTTTTCTTCCAAAGAAGGTTTTGATGTTTATTTCAAAAAAGTAGTAAACTTCGACAAACTTAAAATAGCTTCAAATGTTACAAATAAAATATGACTATCAAGCATTTCCTATATGAAAAGTTTATCCACGTAAGTTTTAGCAAGAATTGAATATATTCAAGAATAAATAAATTATAGAAACTCATTATTTTCAATTTTTCAAAATACCTCAATCTAGCAGAGATAAAATTGCCAATTAAATGTCAGTCAATTCCAAATAGTGAGTGAAAATCTAAAACTTTTATTTCGGCAAAACTTTGTTAAAAACATCTAAATAAGGTTTTGATTAGTACAACACCTGTAGAAGATCCGTACCATTATGCACATTCCAACAATATACCTAGATTGTACTAAGTATTATATAAGTTGCGGCTAACGTGTAAACTTGATTTGTGTGTAAACTAGCTGTGTAGTTTACAAGGTAACTAAGCTGTTGACTATTTTAATAGAAAACGCTTTTTCACCTCTATTATCGGCTATTTTATAAACTAATAAAGAGTTTGTTTAATATAAATTTACTAGAAATCTGTATTAGTTGGTTACTTTATGAACTATCCGTTGCAGTCTAGCTAACATAAGAACCATAATTTATAATAATACAAAATAGCCAAACCATTTCCAACCAATTCTGTGGCTAATGGAGAAATAAATTTAGGTTATGTTAGTACTTTTCTTTTTTTTATACTATGAGGGTGTGTTGTTTACATTTTAAACGTACTTTTAGTATACTAAAATGGACCACAAAGAAACATTTAACGCTACGTTATTAAATCTGAATTGTAAAGAAGCAAATCATTCCAAACTTCATTATGACAGCAGTTATACAAAAGTGGTGTCGAAAGATTAATGAACTTACGTGTCACTAGACTATCAACTATGCAAAAATCTGATTATTATTGGAATAAGCATTTTGATTTAAAACGAGTTTCTGGCAAAATAACAGCTTGCATGAATGATGTGGTTGATATTATTAAAGAATGTCATCAGTCAACTGGACCCGGTGAAAGACAAGCTACAACAAAGCTAATGAATCAAAAATGTTCAAATATATCTCAATAAATTGTAATATTGTTTATTGACGGATGTAAGAAATGCCAGTTAAAAAAGAAAAAAGTAAGGTAAGAAAAAACTGCAAATGGGAGTTTCCTATATTAACAGCACTAGTCCTTCTAATGACCAAATAAAATAGGAGAAATAGAAAACAGTACAAGCTTACAGAGCTGCTCAATGTGCAAAGAAGATGATTTATGTTTACATTACACATTACACACACAACAAACAAAGGACAGAAAAGATAAGAAAAGATTGTCGGGAAGTAATTGGGAAAAAATATTTTCACGAATTGATTTTTGGAAGCAAAATTTCTTGTTTCCCGATTATTTCAAAAAAGACACAGAAATAAGCATTAGTAGTGCTTTTGATTAGTTTCAGGTTCATCACAAGGTTATGTAAGGCGTCAGTGTAAAAAACATTGAATGAACAAAAAAATTAAAAGCATTGCTCTGGGATACACCTGTAACAGCGAATTATTATTATTATTATTATTATTAGTGCTAGCTTCATACTTTTAATTGTTTGGCGCCTTAGTTGATGTGCCATATATCTAAACAATCTTTCTACCTGCTATACAATAATTTAAGAAACACACAAATTTTTATATAATAAACAAATTTAAAACAAAGGTTAGCATTTTGTGGGTAACTATTCCAGCTAGTATGTAAATCATAAACCATGGTTGGTAAGTTTCTAAAGTAGCCTAATGTTCGGCTATATTGTATTACTATAAATTATGGTTTTATATTAGCTAGACTGTAACGATTAGTTTATAAACTAACCAGGTAATATAGTTTTCTAAATAATTTCAACTAAATTAGCCAAGTTGGATGAAAATGCGTTTTCTATTAAAATAGCCAACAGTTTGGTTAGACTGTAAACTGCACAGCTAGTTTACAAACTACTCAAGTTTGCGCATTAACTGTAACATATATATTATATAAATACATATACCAGTAGAGTGCATTTGGCTTTATCATAAATACATGTTAAGAATACAAGTAGATAAATAGAATATGCTATTTCAAATTTCTTGGTAACACCTTGTGTGAGACCCCCAGTATAATGTATTTTCACCTGTGACTAGAAATCTTATGCCTAGAAGTCTCACGCGTCGAAACTTTATGTTCATTTTTTCGATCTGAGCATTCACACGGTACGGTAATTTATTTGATATCCTCAAAAACTACTGTAAACTGTTCATCCCTACTTGTAAACTCTTCTTGGCCAAATTGAACCTCTTTTTTTATCTTAATTATCTTCTTTCGATGTTACATAGGTACAAAAAAAATTCCAGCAACAATAAGAGCAAGGGCAGCATATATTTTTCTAATTCTTATAGAATTTTGTGGAATAGACTGGGGCTTAAACATTTCAACCAACTAAGGACTGTTATGAATAAAAACTGTTTTAAAACAACTGACAAAGTAAAACATAACCTCCATATTTATCAAGGAATTAAACCCTTACACTTCATGAAGTTATTGTCAGTGTAAAACTAGTATTACCGCTTCGGTTAGCTTCACAATTATAATCTATTTGTAAGCTTGGGCAGTTAACGAGAAGTAAATCATTGCGTTGTCGGTACTCGTGTGCCTGTTTTAGGCCGCTTCGGTGTGTTTCGTTATACTCGGCGTCGTTCGTGAAAGTCAAAGGGAAATACAGTCTCTAACGATTTACAACCAGTTGGGTCCCAAACAATTTTCTAAAATATTCACAGCGTCGTACCTCTCCATGTCGCTAAATATCTGCTTAAGTTCGGTTAAGGCGTTACTGTTCCTGTTCCTAGACTCCCACAGGTCCAATATACAGTCTGTCGGTGAGGGTTTTGTCGCGAAAAAGTTTATATACCGGTCGACGTTTAACGCGTGTGCCAACATTCTCCAGTCGTTGCCCCTTTGTACGGGAGTGTCGAGACAGTGGCACAGTTGCTTCCTAATTTGCTTACATAACCTAAACGTAAAGTCGTCGCACGTCGACACGCCCTTATCTGTCACTATCAAGTTTTTGGCACTCTTCTTCGAATCGCTCGATCGGCTCGTCTCGCTACCGTGCTGCAACGCTATTTTTGGCACTAGTTCGTTGTGGTTAAACTTGGTCTTGGAATCGGACACGTCGTCTCTGCACGTGATGTCGAACACCTGGTGGTACTCGAAGTTTTTCTGGTTCACTTTCAGCTTAAAACTCAGATTCCGGTTCACCTCGTACGATTCCAGGGTGAACGAGCAATGGAGACTGTTGCTGTTCGCTTGCCACACGTGCATGAACGGTATCTCCTGGTAGTTTGAGCCCGGTTTAGATTTCCAACCGTCGCATACCGATTCCATCGTCATGCAAAGGTTGTTGCCACCGTCTTGAAACAGCATCGATCTCGGTTCATCCAGTAGGTACCCTCCCAGACGTCTTTCCTGCCCGTAGACGGTTTCCATGGAACTGTCGGTGTCTTCCAAGATGTACACCCTGACACAGTAATCGACGGTGGTTTGGAAACAGAGTTTCGGCGCGAACGCTGCCAGCTTCAGTCTCTTGATGGCGTTGCCGTTCACGGATCTGCCCACGATGACGAAACGCGACAGGCAATCGGTGACCAAATAAGCGGCGTCGTTGTCCAATTGGCAAAACACGATCGTGTTGATCGTTTCCTGGCCGAGGGTTACCGCGTTCTGCCACTGGGAGTCGCTGCAGTCGCTCTGCAAGACGCTGATCGACCAGTTGTTCTTCGTTAGTTCCGCGCAGTGGGGTAGTTTCAAGATGACCGCCTTGTTAAGGGAGACGTTGGGGCCGCACGAGACCACCGGACTCAGTTGAGTCAGGTGCTCGGCCAGTTTAGGCCTGAAGCAGTCCTCGTTGAGTATCGACAGGAAGAGTTCTTGTTTGCGACTCCTGGAAACCGCTCCTTCCGGGACCAAGAGGTTGACTCCGGACTCGGGGAGGTTGAGGAAGGCGCCCGCGTGAGTCACGGCTGCGCTGGTATAGTTGCCGCTGGTCGTAGGTGTCACCGCGTAAGCGGCCGGCAAAGCGGACAGCGGCAGAGTTACGGAATCGGTCGCTACCTCGTACGTAGAATCCGCTGGAACAGAACGTAGTGTGAAGCGACGTCCTCGTTAAATGTTGAGATAACTCACAGTGATTGGTGCACCCGCTCAATTGACTCCGTTTCCCGCTAGACGATTCCAGAGTCGAGCTTGTCGCGGGTGACATTTGGATATCCGAAGCGGAAGCCAAATGGGGAACGTCATAATGATGTTCCGACGCCGATTTGGTTATCGACGTGGCGGGGGTGGTGTAAGGGTACTCGTAACAGGCGGGTACCGTCTGCGTCAAGTCTGGTTGCAAACTCAAGGACTTCTTGTCCTGTTCGGGAAAAAATTCTGGGTGGTAGTCTGGAAAGGCGAACAGAGAGCGTATGCGTTTGAGAATGTTAGTCTAACGATACATATCTATAGTCAAAACCGATCTTATTTTGGTTTTCTTTTACAGGCGTATACTATCTTGACGTGAAAAAAGGATAAGCTTATAATTTATAGTGGCTTAAAAGCTTTGACTTTGAGCTGCGAGTTTTGAGACTTCGACAATTTTAAGGGGAAATATGAGCAATAAAAAGCAATTTTCTGGTTTTTTGCGTCACAGAGCAAAAACTGTGATTTCAAATTTGATAAACTATTTTGAAAATGAAATAGAAAGTGGAAATTATCTACGAAATTGTTTAGGAATTCTGCAGAAAATTGTGCATTAAAAAAACACAGGTATATTACAGAACAAGACAAAAGGTGTAAACGACAGAAATGAAAGATTTCATTGAAAATGTGACAACCGATGTAACTTCCAATTTTGAAAGAAATTGTAAACGATTCATTGTAAACATTATCAACATTACTAATCCAGCCTGGAGTAGCCTCAAGCTGTCTTTGCTGATCCCAAGACCGGGCAAAAGAGGAGGGTTGTAGCAGCGGACCCCTGCTCTATGTAAAAAAAAAGATTTTTCCTAAAAAACCTAATCACAATGGAAAAACCACGAGGACAAAACAAGCATAGAAAAAGGAAAACGAATTGTACTACATGGAGTAACGAAAGACATCAGGAAGTTGCGAAAGTACATTACCACATGGGAACCAATTAACGAAAAAATGAAAAGAATGAATCTCAAAGTGTTGGGAAGAAATGTTGCGATTAAGATTAGTCCATAATAAAGACTTACTTTTTGAACACTGAGAATGGGAAGAAAGGAAAAGGCAATGAGGGAGACATATGCGAACAAAGTCAGTTGATGGTTCTAAATGGTCATTTTCAACATCCAGAGATCGACAAATACACATGGATACAGTCACCAAGAAACTTATTACGCATTATCGACTTTATTATAACAAGACAAAAATCTCGATTAACATGCATAGACCTTAAGTACAAATAGGTGCCCTCTTGTGGGAGTCACCACTACCTAAAGGAAAGATAAGATAAAGGAAAAATAACCTTAATTAATAAATCGAAAGAAAACCCAGACAATATTTAACGAGACGAAGAACCGGCAAACGAGGAAGCACTACTAATATTTAACACGATTAGCTTGAAAAACGAAAGTACAAAAATACTGTATAACACCCTACTGGGTCAGAAAATACAAAAGGTGGAATTCAATGATATAGAAGAAGAATACAAATACATAAAGCAATACAAATACATCCAGCCGCAGAGGAAAGGTGAAATTACCACAAATACTTAAGCTCAAAAACCTTAAACGACAAATTAAGGTACAAATAATCGCAAGCCAGAGTACGAAGAATGATAATCGAAAAAACCAAAAGGAAGAAGAAAACGTACAGAAAGTAGGAGATTCCTTAGAAACATGACAATAGAACTGAAACAGAAGGTATAGACAAATGTTGGTATAAGAACGTCTTCAATAAGACCAACATTAGCAAAGATTAAGAAAGTGTGTAAAACTTTAAAAAATGGCAGAGTTCCGGCCCCAGGTGAACTTGTAAAATACGGAAGCGAAAAACTGTCTTGCCAACCATGCATAAAAAAGGGACACAAGAGCAATTGTGACAATTATCGGGGTATGGAGGTTACAAGTTCCATTAGTAGAATATATGCAAAAATTAACAAAAAAACAGAATAATTCGCGGATGTTCAAGTGGTTATTACACAAGACATGGATGACATCGACACATGACACGTAAGCTAATTGAGGAGTCTGACAAATCTGGCGACTAATTCTATTGAATACGTATTTATTATTTATATAATTACAATTAGATAGTAGACAATACAACACAATGTATTCAAATGTTTTGTTTCAAGTTCCTTACTACTAACTTGAACCGGTTTGTATTGGCCCACAATGACGACGTTAATAGCATTCGTCATGACTTTTTTTATACATAATTTCTTGTAGAGTCCTTAAACGGACTTCAACTGTTTTCGCAACTGCTTCCCGGGGACTGGATACCAAATTTTCATTCTCTTTTTATTACTTGAAATAATTATTATGATTAAATACCAGTTGTTGTAGATAGATGCTAAAATAAATTGAACTGTTTAATATTGTTACCGATAAGATAAAATTCATTTTATTATTAAGTTACCGAAATAATCAATACTATTTTTTTCTAACTTTTCAACACCTACTGTTTTATATTCTTGTAAAAATAACGATATGTGGCTATCACAAGACTATACTTAGATAAAATAATACTAATTCTAATAAACTTCTTATTTCTTCTGGTATATTATTTAAAATATATAATATATAATACAATATAATAGCATACTATGATTAGTGACCATATATTAAGACTGGATTTGACTATATGGAAGTTATTTTAACGACAGTTAGTTTTTACCCTATCGCTACGGTAATTGTTTTATACAAGAGCATCATTCATCATGGTTAGTATTATTATTAGATAGAAACCTAGTGTTCTAGAGGATAGGCTTCCTAAAATTACCCTAAACAGCAACTACAAAATGTAATTATAATGACATCATCTAATTTAATGAATGAATCTTATTGTCGAGAAACAAATCTGGGAAATATTCATTATAACGATTGCTGCCTAATATTAACCTAAAAATTTGGTGTAAAATCACTGTCATGCCGCCGCATCTTTCGCATGGGCATCTAACAAGTATTTCTAGATAGAAATCAGGGCATGGGCACTTTACTAAATGATAATTCATCCTCTGGACTATAGATGGCGAGACAAGTATCGCTCTGACTAATAACACACAACTGTGCTTCCCTGTCACCTTAACAGTAGTTTTAGAAAAATGCCTATTAATACTCTCTTATTATCAACATAAGTAACGAAATATCATTTAGTTTTATCCATGAAACTAACTTAAAATCCTGACTACTCCTGCAAATGGAATATAGTATCAAGGGTTAGTTATTACTGTTCTTTTTACTATTTTTCTTGCAATTGGAATATCTTTATTTGACTCTTTTCTGATTATTAGTATGGTTGCCGTCAGATTGTGAGATAACCACCCAAAATTGTTGCTCCTCGTTATTAATTAACTTAAAGTTTGTGAAGAAAACATTCCCCAAGTCCTTAACAACACATTTAACGGTATGGTTGGTTAGTTTTGTTCAGATTTATATTTAATATACCCTGTTACCCCCCATAAATAGACTAAATATTGAATTGAATTGAATATTGCTCTGACTGACTATTTGGCAGCTTTAGGTTGTTATGATGTATATCGCAATTTTTATGTGATACTGTGAGCAGGGTGTTTCCTGATAATTCGCTATCCGTCTCAACTTTGTTAATCGAAGAGATAGAAAATAATTAATAGGAAAGTTTTTTTATATGAGAGTTGCTTCATAACTTTTGGAAATCAATACGATCAAAAAGAATAAATAACTGTTTTTTTTTCTGTTATAAATACAGCATAAAACTTTATTTTATAAAAATAATGATGACATATCTTAATCAAGAAAAGAATGCAGGGATTTATTTGGAGATCATGTGCCGTAGATATATAGAAAACAACTTCAGCGAAAGAAAATCTTTAAAAAGAAAAAGTCGGATGGTTCCAGCGGATGAAAATGAAGAGTTTGATATCTTACTTTTCTTTGAACAATATTTTTTACAATATTATTATTACAATATTTATTTACTATACAAAATTTAAGATATTAATTTATAAAAAATCCTGGAATCTCCACTGAAATTGCTAGAAATTATTTTGGAAAATAAAAAAAAAACATTTAATACGGAAGAATACGGATATCAAGAATTGACAGAAATTTTAAGATTAGAAAGTTGCGATTTTGCATTTTTAAAGGGGTTTTGTGGACTGATGAAGCCACCCTTACAACTGCTGAAATATTTAACTGGCCCCATCTCTGGGGCACCCAGAATCCTCGAGGTATTAAAAAAAATTACTTTTACACAAAAAAATTGTTATTATTATTATTTTTTGTTCATATCAGCCTAAAAAAGTTAAGAAAAAAAACTACAAAAATTTCATATAAAAACTTTCTGTCGTCAAACAAAGAGGTTTCTACAGTCTGAGTTTCTTTTATCCGATTTGGATGCAAACAAAATATCGATTCTACATCAGGGTTAGGTCCACATCCATTTATTAGGTTATATGATGTCATTTCAATAACAATCTGTATGTAGTAATTGCTTTGAGATGTTAAACTTAAAAATGAGCGGGTCTGCCCATACTCGTCCATCATAAAACACTTTCGGCGATACGTTTTTCCCCCCACCACAGAAAATCCTCCGCGCGGGTAGGATACGTGCAATCTAGGTATATATTGACTGGTTTACGATGTAAATTAGCATTCCACATCTGCCGGGGCCGAATAATTGTAGCTATAAATAATCAGGAGACCGTGTAAAATGATTTAATCGGTAACAGAGCGGGCGTGTTTTACATAAATTCTACGGGAAAACGGAAACGAGTTCCCTTTTGATAAGTTACTTAACGTGCGGGAAAAGATGCTCGAGTGATGTACCTACATTCTTATCGATCGATGTTGGAAAGACGACAGACAGCAATACTAATACATTTATCGGTTATCGTGATCGTTAACCTTTTAAGAATTCACAGATGAACCAGCATCTGCGACTTTCAAATAACTGACGTGAGATTAGCGAAAGTCAAAAGATTATGTTAAACTTACCGTTTGTGGTCATGCTGTACAAGCTTTGGTGCTGACCTTTCTTCCTATATAGTCTGACGACGAAGAATGACAACAAGCAGACCAAGAATATAGCAACGGTGAGGCCTATGTAGAGCAGTATGTCGTTCTGGGTACTCTGAATGTTCGCTGAAACAGAACACCAACCGATAAGTTAAACCAAGCCCCACTCATTTTAGATAGTTATGACAAGACCAAAGAAATGAGTAATCGTAAAAGTTTGAATGGGATTGGTTCTGAAAATAATTCTAAGATTTCAACATTTACTTGAATAAAAAGACTTTAGTTCTATTCAAAATTATTTATCCGACTCCAACCAAATAACAGCTCAAACAGTTTTCATTATCAATGAAAAATTTCAATTGGGAAACCACTTCCGAAAAATTCAAACCCTTCATCGTTTAACGATTTTCGCGTTATCAGTTATACCACCGACTTTATTTGAAATACTTTAAACAATTTTATATAACCAAATGTTTCTTGGTTAATTTAATAATACCAAAAATTCAACTGACTGGCCATTTTTTGAGTTCTTTTCAGTGTTCTGTTCTTTTTATTCTTTTCGATTATTGAAAGGTATTGGATAAGATAAATCATTCACTTCTGGAATCTAAATGAAAATATTATGGTTTTGGTTTTGATAATATAGCTTGCTTTCTTATAAGTTCCTATTTAGATGACAGATTTCACTCTATACAGTGTAATAATAATTAAATTATCTGTTCGGGACCATATGAGATCCGGGATTCCACAAGATTACATCGTAAGGCCTTGCTCCTTTATAGGGATCTTTTTAAGCCACTGCAGTAAAAATATCCGCTACCAGTTGCTGATGATACTGAAATTTATTTTTCTCTTGATAACAGAAGTAATCTTTCTAAAAAATAGAACTTCAAACTTAATCCTGAGAAAACTCATTTTATGATTTTTTGAGCAAGAATAAGTAGATTTTCTTTAAAGCAATGTTGAAATCTCTATGGACAATGGTAATACTGTTTTACAAAACTTCTAAATTCCTCCTGCTGGATTCCTCAACATTCCTCTACTCAACAACAATCGACGCAGGAGAAATCCATAAGTTTTGTAAATAGTATTATAGTAGCCTGTGGAAGCTTCTTAAAAAAATTAATGTAAAATATTGGTTTAGTTGACGAGATAAAAAATTTGGAAATACTAATTGATAGTAATTTTAGGTTTAAACAACACTTTTCTTGTCTCGAAAAATGCTTTACACCATATTTTATATTTCAAATTAAGCTAAGTTTTGTGTAAAACCTTAGTACTGTTTCTGCCTCGATGTGGACACCAGAAACAGACTTGCAATAGTTTAGCATGACTTTTAAATGTGTACATCATCATAAAATTATTTAAACAAATAGTCCGCCAACTCAATCAGAGAAAGATTGCTATTTCACTATAATGTTCATAATTTACGAGGTATATGAATAAATTGTCGATTTCAGGTGACCAGAGTGCTATGTTTTCTTAAAATGCAGCTTTTTACTTGATAAATATATAATTATATGTAATATAAATTTTGTGAGGGGTTAGCTTAATAGTGCAGGCAAGTGACTACTGTTCAACACGGTTATTCTTTCTTAAAATTATATTTTAAAAATATGTATGTGATATTTTAGGCATAGTAATCTCAGGATATGGTGATATTGAGGCGGAGGTGAGAGAACGAACAACAAAGGCAACAAGAATAGCAGGCGAAATAAAAATATGAAAGTGGAAAGTAAATCAAGAATTTATAAGGCAACGGTGAGACCAATTACGACTTACTCTGCAGAAACTCGATCTGATACAGCAAAAACCAACCAACTACTAGAGACAACCGAAATGAGTGTATTTCGCAGAATAGCTTGAAAAACAATGTTAGACAGAGAGAGAAATGAGAGCATAAGAAGAGCATGCAAGGTGGAAAATGTAAATAAATGGGTACACAGTAGAAAGAAAGAATGGAACGAACACATCAGCAGAATGGATGACAGAAGAATAGCGACAAATCACCCCTGGGTCGCAGAAGTTTAGGACGTCCTCGGAAACGTTGGTGCGGCAACTTGGCAGTCTAACTGGCGGAGGGTGACGAAGGAACGGGCGACTCGCCTAATATGAAGAAGGAAGAAGAAGAAAAAAAAAGAAGAAGTATGTGATATTATTATTATTATTTTTATTACATCATATAATTACTAAAGTCCACATTTCGCCCTACAAAAATCAACTTATGTTCCATTTATTATAATAGTAGTTTTCCAATTTCGAATACACTTCTATCGCGTTGCGAAAGCGACTATAAATAAAATTGGGTCATAACGAATGATCGGATCAAGACGCTGCTTGTAAACATCAGAATGTTTCGACGCCCCCGGCCACACACAAAATACTTATTTCCCATAGGAGAACCGGGAGAAGGGAAATTTCTTATTTCCACCTTTTTCGCGAAAGTTGCGAGTGTACCGCAATACTCTTTTGGAAAATCTAATAACTAAACGAGGTTAAAGCATCGAATTTCGTTTGTCTTTGGCGTAGAGTAATACTAACAAGAAACGCCAAGCTCATTCCGTATCACCAGCTGCTTTTAAAATGCGAAAAATTTGTTGTTTTGATGAATTCTTAAGATTCTGTGTATATCGAAACAAACTTCCAATTCCATTGGAATACTATATATAAATCTTCTGCATTCTTCCTATGTCGGTGGTTATTGAAACTGCCTCTCATTCTATTCTGTACCTGCTTATTCTGTCTGATGGGGGCTGAGATAAAGTGAGGTAAAAGTTGAAGATATGAGTCGCAGTTAAAATTGTTTGTTTTGCTCGGATTTTTCTTTGGTAGTAGCATAATATCCAGCTTTTTTCTTCTTTGCCGTGAGAACTGTTAGTTTTGTACTATTTAAACTCAATACATCCTAACATAGGTTTTATCACTGAATTAGGAACTAATATTCCCCCCTTCTTCTAAACTTAATTAATTATTAACACAGGCCAATACCTCAATGCATTACGCCACCATCCGGCTTTGATGTCATCGGTTGTAAACTCTCTTATTTCCAGAGCGGCAAAACTATCTTATAATTTCCATATTAGAAATATTAAGTGTTCCTTTAGAAAAACACTTCACCACAAGCACACAATTGCCACTGTGGTTCTTCCTTACATTTCAAAAGTGGTTAAAAATGCACTGTTATAACTAGACTACCCAAAAATTTTTCAACATTTCCAGTCCGTCAAAAATAAAATTCTGTTTGAAGCACCATGTGCTGCGAAGGATACATTGGAGAGACAGGTTGACAAATATGTAGGCTGAAAGAACAAGGCTACAGATAAACTCAACAGCAGTTCCCGAACATAACCGAGAATCCATACAAATCTCTAGACACACGAAACAGTCATCCGATAAAATGTTCATGGCCCTCCTCTAGCTACACCCCTTTAAATAATTATAAGTAGGAATAAAATAAACCAGTCTTAGTAAAGCTCTGAAGAAGCCAACAAGATGATTGGCGGAACGTCGGCAAGTTCTATTCAGATTTGTAGATTTGATTTTCACTTCTACCATTCACCATAACCATCTAATATTTTTCATAGTGTTAGTAAGTACTTAAAGCATTTGAAGCAGGTTGCAACCAAGATGAGTTGTAATAAGTTATTTCAGGAAAGTATAGGGTCGTCATCCAGATCGTCCTAATTTGGGTATCGGCCATAGGCGTGCGTAAAGTTTATGCAATAAATTTATTTTGGAAATCCGAAACTAATAAATGAGCAAGTACCTGATATATTGCCCCTCACTATTCCTTTATGACGGAATAAAGGGAAATGAGCATTAGTTTGGTGTGACAATGTAATTGTAAAATAATAAAATATATTTCGTCTGATTCGGTAATGGTTATGGATTACGCAAGTTAACATACACAACGCGTAGAGAAGTTTCCAACTTCATCTCAGAGAAAACACGAAATTATCTACCATTTAACAACCAAAAATATTGAATTTGAAGCTGATTTGTTAAAGATGAAACTGCCTACCACATATAGCCAACTTAAATACACATAGACTATTTGATCAAGTCATTGCGTGACACCTGGTGACAAAAGCAGCAAATCATGACCAGAAAATGTCTTTTTTATCCGGATTCACAGGAACCAAAATATCGATTCGTCTTAATAACACCCTGTACAATTCCGAAATTTAAAGGTTTGGGTTTTCTCGAAAACTAGTTGAGCAGATACAATTTGCATCGATGTATGTCACTCTCACTCAAATCCGGCGTAATTTGCATTAAATACGTACACACACGCGTGTATTTTGCTGCTGTTTCAATCCCGAACAATAAAACAGCCCGTCAGCTGCCGATGCGCCATCTTCCGTCTCGTATACGTGTGCACGCAACGTTGCAAAGGGAACACATTTGTTGGCCCGCATACATCATCAGCGAAGCGCGACCGAAACCTATTAGTTTACCTCCGAATGCCGTGGGGCTGCTTCGCACCGCGTCCGTTATATTTAACCCGAAACTAACCCCGGAAATGCTACGTTGCCGCCGTCGCAGAAGTCCACCTCAAAATAATTACAAAGCGGTTTTTTTAACCGCCTTCATAACTTTTACGCCGTAACATTTTATGGAGAAGTTACTACACGCTGCATTAATGTGTCACCCGAATAGAAGGAAAAGGGAAATACCAAGGATAACCTGGAGACAAAATACTACGAGTCTTCACGGTTTAGAAGCTGGCGAATCTTGAGATGTGGCGTATGGAAGCGGCCAACGCTTTAGGAACTCCGTTAAATGTATTTATATAGCAACGTTAATGAGTTTACTCGGTGGAGACTTTAGGGAAATTACGCATGAGCTGGCAACGTGGCAATCTTGTGCCCGTTGCCCAGCGTAACGAAAACAATCCCTCAACTCCAACGGTTTGTTATCTTTTAAACTTTAAACAAAGGTTCAAACCTTTACACAAAAAGTACTAGGCATGATGGCAGCTATATTATTCCTAGACATCAAACTGCATTATTTACTTTTTTTATTTATTTGTATTTATCATTTTAATTATTGTGTGCGAAAACCTATAATAGTATCGATACTTTTCCAACTAATATCAGTTTGGATTTTCGCATTCCTGAAACTAG